ATGAAGTAAATACTGAGCTTGAAAAAGACAATGGAACGCCTTACCTTAATATGGCATATGAGGAGGTCTTATTTCCCGTGGTATTTACAGGAAAGAAAAAATACTATGGTCTTGAGCATAAAAAGAAGCCAAATTTCAATACAGGTAAGCTTTTCATTAAAGGGGTAGATATTGTGAAAAGAGGCCAATCTAAGCTCTTTCGTGATGTAGGTAAGGAAATTATGAATAGAACTTTGAAAGTCAGTAATGAGAAGACAATACACCAGATTGTTGAAAAAGTTCTTTGGAAAAATGTGGAAAAACTTTCCAAGTTAGATTATGATAAATTTATTCAGACATGTATATGGAGGCCTAAAAAGGAAGGTAAGCGGAGAAATATTTCTGTAGAACAGTTTTTTTCACGAATGGAGGCTAAGTATTCTCGTGAAGTATTGGAAAATCAACAGCTTATAAAGAAGGGTTTACCCGCTAATGAATATCTATATAAAGTTCCCAAACCCGGTGAACGATTTAGTTATATTGTTATAGTACCTGAAGAGATTTATGATAACTGCGGGAAAAAAATACCACAACAAAAAGGAGACTGTATGGAATACCCAGATGTGGTAAAAAAGTTCAACAAGAAAATAAATATTGATTATTATATCGAAAGTCTATTTGGTCTCTGTGCCCGTTTTATAAATTATGATGATAAATACCAACCATCGCCTGAATCCCTCTCAAAAGTCTTGGATCGCAAAAAGAAATCCAAGGAGAAGAAATTAAAAATTGCTAAGGATTTATTGCAGAGCAGGCTGTTAGGCGATTCTCTGAATCATGACTCTCCGAGTCTAGATGAGGATGAAATAGCAAAAATTAAAGATGAAGTTGGCTAAAAAATGGCTCAAAAATTATATTAAAAACTTACTTGATGCACCGAAAAAAGATGAAGCTATTATCTCCTATTTATGGAAAAATACTATTACTCAAGCTGAAAAAATATGTTCTAGTATTAGTAGAGCTAGCATAACCAGATCTTCAGGCGTCTCTGCGGAGCATAATAATTACCTTAATATATTAGACAAAATTACAGACTCCACTCGTTCGAAATTATTGAATCTACTTTCAAAATTGTCTAAGCTTAATGTGGGATATAGAAATGCGATGTATGATTTAATTACGCAGGTGCAAAAACGCAAACCCAAAATTACAATTCTGGAACAATATATATTTCTATATGATTTGGAATCAGAGTGTCGAGAATTAATAGATTTCAGGAATACATGGTATAAGGTGGTTGGCCTTGAAATTACCCGGCTTCAAGCATTATCAATCACATATGGCAGTAAAAAAGATGACCCATCAGACATTGATGATATCATTGACCTATATTGTTAAATATTCTTAGCTAAGATCGCCACAATCTACTAGATATTTATACGATATTAATAATATTTTTTCATATATAAATAATATCCAAGTTTAAATAGATGTTCACCCAATCCACATATCCCGCAATCGATCACTTTTTTTACTTGACTTGGTGACCCACTTTTTTACTCAAAATAATACTTATTTGGTGTCCTATCAAAGCATAATTTTATTATATATCTTTTATCTGTAATAATTATTCCTTGGTGGCCCACTAATTTTTAAAATGCTATTTCTATCGGCATAATCTTATATATTATATGCGCACTCTATTTCAGAATGCTAGCATTTTATTCGAAATAGTACTTACTCACTGAAAAATCTTTGATGACCTATCAAAGTAATAATTTATATAATAGAGATATCACGTCTGACCCACCAAAACGCAATTTCTGTGCAGTATAATTTTACTTTGGTGTCCCAAAATTTTTTGACATAAGTTATCTCTAAGTATATTGCTTCTATCCCTCCTATTAGAAGAGGCAAAGCCTCGAGACTAGGTCTCATCTGGGAATTCGATTTAATCAATGAGGATGTGTGTGCTTTGTGATATTTTTATTATATAGTTTTATATTCTGCTTTCTTACATTAAATGTATTAGAAAAAAATCTGAAAAATCATATGAGTTTGATCATATTATAAAAATGCAAGATTATAACGAGATTGATACCAAAGCTTTTACGTATACCAAAAGACGTGAAGGGGAATGCTTGGCTAAAGCTAGATCCAACGCAGATATTTATTTGTAGTCATGCAAAAATCAACATCAATGGGAAGCATCCTATAAAAATATGAAGCAGAATTATGGATGGTGTAATAGTTGTCCCCATATATTTGAGCGAAGATGTCGATATATATTTGAAGAATTATTATATAAGAAATTTCCACCTCGAAAACCCAAATTTTTAAAAGGTTTACAGCTTGATGGGTATAATGAGGAATTACATTTGGCCTTCGAATATAGTGGTAATCAGCATTATCAAATCGTTCTATTTTTCCATCTACAAGGGCAAATTAATTTAGATGCACAAATTCAACGCAATTGGAAGAAGAGAGCACTCTGTTTTAGGGAAGGTATAATTCTTATCACAATTCCCCATTGTGTTGTTGATCTGCCAACTTTCATCAAGAGTGTCTTGAATGCATTCAGTTTCCTCCCATTACCCACCTAGGAGGTAACATAGGCTCTTCCTTAATATGCATTAATTTTTCTCTTTCAAAAGGACGTTGAGAACCTGTTTCATCTAAATAATATAATACAGGCATTGGTGGATTTTTTCCAACAACAATTTTCTGAATTTTATGAAGGCTTGGACTCCATACTGGATCTGTTATTCTTCATCGTTCAAAGGGATCATTTTCCCATTCACCAGGAGCAAGTAAAAATCGAACTATAGTTCCCTTTGGTAACTGTGGCTCATCAGCACCTACTGGACGATAATACTTTGTTGATGGCTTGGAATACACTCGTTCAAGCTTCATAGCACTATTAGGGCTCATTCCAATTAATCGGGTTGGAGTATCATTCATATTATCAACAATTTTCCGTGCAAATCGCTTACACTCTCTACAGCGTTCACCAGTAGGTAAGAGAAATTCTATCGCATACTGATTTTTAAAAACTCTTAATTCGAATAATCCAGCATAACGGTCGACTATAGCCAAGCTTGTATGTCTGAAACGTGCTATAATTCTTCGAATTTCAACACCATGTTCATACATTAATAAAGTCACGTATCCCATAAACTCAGTGCCCTTATCACATTGTAGTTTTCGAGGCCAGTTGAGGGGATTATCGGGATTATCATATATACTCTTAAATGCTTCTGCAACTTCGTCACTACTTTTTGATGTTAAAAAAACAAAATCTTTATATCTACTTGCACAATCTATAACTAATAATACATAATAAAATATTTCACTATTTTCATTCAATAAATTTATATACTCATCTTCATCATAAGGTATCTCAATTAAATCGCACTGATGAACACAATTAGGTTTTGAGATTCTAGAATAACTAGCATAAGGTGCATTCTTTGGTAAGGGACGATAAATTTGATGCATTTTCTGAGACTCAAGCCATTTTTTTATCGTAGCAAGTGGAAAGTTATATCCAGCCTTCCTACAAGCATCTTGCAATCTTTCAGCATTTTGGTAATAACCTTCAGGTTGGTAATATAATTTCTGCAAAACAATCTCTCTATCCAAATCACGAGCTCTCTGAGGACTAATATTTATTATGGGCTGTTCTATTCTTTTAGCTTTAACAATCTCTCTATCCAAATCACGGGCCCTCTGTGGGTCAATATAAATTACGGGTTTCTTCATTCCTTTGTTTTATTATAGTAATAAAAAACAATGGATGAGTTACAACAAACCAACCAAGAACTCTATGAGGTGGTATCGCAATTAGCTAAATCAAATAGGAATTTTGAACAATGTCTATATACCTTAGAAAGAGTTATTGGTATACGAAAAGAAAGGATACGATATCTTGAAGAAGAGTTAAATAATGCTATTGAACTATCTGCACAAGACAAAAAAGAATTATTAGACGAAATCTCAAAACTAAAAAGAATCATTTATCAGCTCGAAGAAGAAAATAAAAAAAAAGACAAGAAAATCTCAAATAAGGATAAGTTAATATCAGAATTCGATGAACATGAAACAAAATTAAAAACCAGAATACAAGAAATATCAAAATCAGCTGGAAATACACCTAAAGCACAAGATTATACAACCAGATTAGTAGACGAAAATGAACGCCTTAAACGAGAAATAAATACAATAAGGGTTAATCAAATAAATAGGATTAATAAAATAAATCAGCAAAAAAA